GAATTGAATTAATTGCCAATATATTCACATAGTATAATACTTTGGAAATGGAATCAATACTTGTATATTTTTAGCAAATGAGCATTGTTATTGATCAAACAACATTGTTTCACATAGCAACAGACAAGGAAACATCTGTATTTAAATTCACTACTTATTTTTTATCCAGACACAAATTGATGCAAAAATTGTTTCAGGTTTGGCTTAGTTATAGCCTTACATCAGGCTATTCCATTTAATATCCGTACCCCTCTGTCGAGGATCCCTGGAATTCTTCAGGGGTAAAGGGTTTTGAGCTTGGAATTCTTCAGGGATAAAAGGTTTTGAGTTTGAAATTCTTCAGGGGTATAACCATGAAAAACATGTATCCTCGACAGGGGGTGTACGGATATTAAATGGAATAGCCCATCATGCTGTCAAGTGGCAATCAGTTACAAAGCAAGTCTATAACCAAATGTTTTACAACCTGAGGAACTTCTTAAATAAATTATTCTATAATTTATACAGATGCTACAAAAACACCTGGCATCTTAAATTTATATAGATAACTCCATTTACAAAAGCACAAAAACCACAGGCTACAACATGTTGAGTGTTGACCATAATGTACTGTATTGTTTAAAGCTTCAAGTTTTTAACACAAGCAAAAGCTGTCACTCCAAAGTCCTGGCAACAATATGTCAATTTAACAAAACGACGTGTGCGATTTCATTTAGCCAATTCTTCCATGGTTATAATAAATATACTCATACTGTAAATCGATAAAAAGTCATTCATAAATACCATGCCATTTTGTAAGTATATACCCAACATCCCAATACTTTTTCATACGATTAATATAATATATCCTTCGATTAATATTGTTTGATTTCGCATTCCAAATCTGATAAACATTGATAATTCTCTCTTCGCGTATGTCCACGCGTAATTCTCGTAAAAAACACGCATTAATTGTGTCGGCAGCATTGATGATCACGGCAGCCAATCAAATAACGACTTCGATTCGATTTCCCCAGAGTCATGCCACTACCTAACCCGCGAACAGGCATACTCTGGGAACGAGATTGCTAGTGATGAAAACAAAAACAATATGTGAACGCTTTCTTTTGCACACATGACTTCATATTCGCACCACTGGTTATTTCATCGAAATAAAATGGCAAATAGACATAACAGTGAGCAAGAACAACCGATATTTAAGAGTGGTGTTCATCCAGATCTCTATGGCGCAATTAACAGTGTATCTGGCGAGCAGACCATCGACACAGAGAAAATGAGAGCGAGACTGAAATGGCATTATATGAATGCTTATGAAAAATACAAAGCTGGAGGACGCAAACCTTGGAAACTTATCATTCAAATCATAAAGATATTTCTTGTTACGGCACAGGTCAGAATTTATAATAGAGTAAATATTTAAGACGCTATTTTAATTGTTTTTATGAATACAATATTATATATCGCCTGACCTTCGTACATACATGTCATACTCTTGTCATATGACCACCGGCCTATAGCTGATCTCCAGTTCACTTTGTAAGATTTGTCGCTTTATGTACCCGCTAGTATGTCTTGTCTGAAATACTATTTGTACATGAAGTAAATTTTTTAATCAGAACGTATTAAAAATAAAGAAATATATAAGTTTTATAAGCTCTGAATATGACATTTTTTAATATATTGGCTTCTCTGGGGGGATGGATGGGCTCAGGGCTCGAATTTTGTCGCGGCTGTGGATCATTGCGGCAACAACAGCAATTTTTTGCTGTGTAGTATAATTTTTGCACTATTCACTGTGCATTACTATTTTGACACTTAATTCAGATGTTGATCAGATGATGCGTAAACTACTATTTTGGTCTGAGTTTTCTTCGAAAACACTAAAGAAATACATAAACATGTTCCTAGCTTGTCAACAATCCAAGAGGTACCTCAAAGGGTTAAATAACAAATGTAAGTTTTAGGTGCTGCGTAATTGATGAAAAGTGGTCTTCTCTGGACCAGGGTGCATTCCATAAAACTCTATGCCAAGGCGTAAAAAAAAATACCTGTGGTTCTGGTTTCATATCGTAAAAAAATTAGGGTCGGTAGGTCGGAAATAAATTTTTTTTAAAATATTTTTTTTCATAGAGTCCCGACATCAATATTAACTAGAACTTTGCGTATTTCCTATGGACAAATTTAGACAATTTGGTTCAATAATTAGTGTGACAACAGACGCCATTTTGCCACGCTGTATGAGCAGCCCGCAACCACCCGGAGAAAATAGGGTCGCACGGTCAATCGCGTTGAAAAAATAATAGGGTCGGCAGAAAAAAATAGGGTTGGTCGGGAACCGGAACCACAGGTATTTTTTTTTATGCCCAAAGATACACCAATATTAACTATAGATAATATTGTAATTTATCAAACTCATGCCGGATATCTTCGCATTTTTGTGCACAGAATGCACCCTGGTTTCTGGAGAGGACTGTATGGTGTGATAGTATATTTTCACCATTAACCCATTGATAGTACAACCTAATGGTACACATGAAATCTAAATATCATGTATTGATTGAAAATCAAATAAATCCACATAAATATTTGAGTCAGAACTTGTGCTAAAGAAGTATATCAGCAGAGGTGCTTGGTCATTCAATGTCATGAAAAATGTTCTATGTCCAAAGAAGGAAAGAATATTTGTCTTTGGCCTAAATACCACTCTGACTTGCAGAGTATTATCGCTACTGGCAAATACCGGGATATTCCAATTTTGGACGATGATCCCGAGCAGAACAGGACAAGACGTGGATATTTTACAATTGTGCAAAACGAGAGAATGGACGTGGTGACAATGGCAACATCACGTCTAAAGAAGTTGGCAGAACGGTTGAGCCATGAGTTAAGGGTCTCTGTGTTCGATGACCAAGCCACCTCATCGGTTGAACAATTTCTTCCACTACTCGATTTGCAAAGATTAGCAAAATTAGACAAAAGTTTCATCACAGCTTGAAAGAGCATCACAAAATTAGTAATATTCCAAAGTTTCGTTGCGAAATGTTGTAAAATGCGGATAATATAGCCTTCTTGAAAATGTGCCTGCAAAATGTCTGCATACAAAATGCAAAACATGACATAATGAGGCATCAGTCATTGATTACTATAGTCGCTGTTTATTGGGCTACTGGCTACAATTCACCAGACTCGGCTATGTAAGAGTTAATTACCGAGAAGGAGGGCTTTATGCTATATACAGCCCCGAGAACGCGAAGCGTTCGAGGGCTTTATATAGCATAAAGCCCAACATTCGAGGTAATTAACTGACTTATTTCATGATTGAAGAGGTTTTCTAACAAAGTTTTATTCTTTTTTTTTTGATTTCGACAAGTATTTTTCTAGTTTTCTCGCTTATTTCTTGACTAATTAGGGCTTTATGGTATTCAAGGGCATTATGCTATATACAGCCCGCGGTACATCAAAGAAAACCGAGTCAATCATGAAATAAGGGCCTTTATTTTTCAATAAAAATGAACGACAACGAGTAAACTAAAGACTAATTAAAAGTTATTTGTCCATAACTGGAAGCTCTGACTGGAAGCTTTGATTGTTTTTTTAACTTTCCAGCAATGGACCATTTGCATTATAGACTAAATTTTGGTCTAGACAAAAATTTCATCACAGCTTGAAAGAGCATCACAAAATTAGTAATATTCCAAAGTTTCGTTGCGAAATGTTGTAAAATGCGGATAATATAGCCTTGCGAAGTTTGCCGTTTTTCAGTAATTTTGTATTACGCACGGGAAATTGACAGCCCAATCGGGTGTTGGGGCATCAATTTCCCCCTTTTGTAATACAAAATGACTGAAAATTGGAAATTTTGCAAGGCTATATTATCCGCATTTTACAACATTTCGCAACGAAACTTTGGAATATTACTAATTTTGTGATGCTCTTTCAAGCTGTGATGAAACTTTTGTCTAATTTTGCTAATCTTTGCAAATCGAGTAGTGGAAGAAATTGTTCAACCGATGAGGTGGCTTGGTCATCGAACACAGAGACCCTTAACTCATGGCTCAACCGTTCTGCCAACTTCTTTAGACGTGATGTTGCCATTGTCACCACGTCCATTCTCTCGTTTTGCACAATTGTAAAATATCCACGTCTTGTCCTGTTCTGCTCGGGATCATCGTCCAAAATTGGAATATCCCGGTATTTGCCAGTAGCGATAATACTCTGCAAGTCAGAGTGGTATTTAGGCCAAAGACAAATATTCTTTCCTTCTTTGGACATAGAACATTTTTCATGACATTGAATGACCTTTGACATTTGCAGCAGCTTCTTTATGCAAACTTCATGAAATTTATCGAACCGTCCATGTGGTAGAATGCTCACTATTTGTAGGAAGTTGATGCCATGGCCAAACGTGTCGTAAATATCGCAAACTCCAGAGAGTGTTAAAACAAACTTCTTGTTTGCAAGTTTGTTCTTAAGCTGTGTAGCATATGACGCAGTTTGTCTGCTTTTCGCATCCCTAGCACCAAAGTTATTCATTTGGGTTTCCTCCAACGTACTGAAAAGGGCTGGATAGTCCTTACGTAGTTGTTCATAGACTTTCGCACAATGATTGGCAAATTTAGTCTCGCTGTAAAACTTAAGGGAGACCGCGAAACACATCTGCATCAAAAGTTTCGTCGTCAGCTTTCAACCTTTCAGCAAACAGAAAAAATGTTCAAATTCCTGTCCCCAGTTAATAGCTGTGAAAAAAGAGCTGATATCTTCCGTAATTTGAACGAGCCAACTGAACTGAGTTTCTTTTCTAATTGCTGCATCTCTAGTACCAGCAATATGCATTGGATCCCAGTCTGAGAATTTCCTGTTGGCACCAGTGAATCCAAAATGACCATCTAACAATTCAGGAACCGAAAGGTGATGATATTGCCCATCATAAGAGCCTTCTTGATATTGTTCTGCGGTAACATAATTTTTATTCAAAAGATCGATTAAACTCTTTGCAATGGCTGGACCTGTATGACCGGCCTAAACCACATGGATATCGAGGAAAATTGGCTGGATAAAGACGGTGGAGTTAGGCACAACAGTAATAAAAGAAACAAATTGCCGCGTTCTATGCTTATAGGTTGCTTTATCAGCAACTACTTTTCCAACTGGTCGAAAACCAGTTTGGTCAAGCCGATTATTCAGAAAATTATTCACTCTGTGTTCAACCTCGTCTGCAACATAGGGAAGAAACTTAGCAGGGAATTTTTCACAATGATTGAGCTCACCGATATCAAAAGCTCCTTGATTGATTGGAGAAGTAATGAATCTGGGAAGTCTGTATCTGGTCTTCCTTTCTTAAACAGATAGTAACAAGTCTTTCCAATCTTCACTCCAACTGAGCGTTCCCGCCTCTCTTCCTTGCCTTTCTGCCGAGGCAGCTTCGGACTGCACATCACAATTAAACTCTGGATTAGAAAGAGGGTCTTCGTCCGTCGCCGGATTATAGGAGAATATTCCACGCACCAATTTGTCAGGCCGAACTTGTCTTACTTGTTCAGCTGTCACGCATACATTGCATGTCATGACCGATCTTTCTTCATCAAAGAAAATTCACTTAGTTTATCAGTTATTTCAGTAACAGAAGTACATTGCAACAAGAGATCTCTCGTAAGATTGTCATTTGACTCATTTCTATGAATAGTTCCTGAACTTGGTGCAGCTTCTTTTTTGCTACTTCTTACTTCTACTGTTAGTTTGTCTACCTTTTTTATCAGCTGTGCTAGGATTTTCCTCGTGCTTCTCCTACTTTCAGGGCTTCCATCGTCACTTTCTTTGAGATTTTCTGCTTCATTGTACTCCTGATGATCAAACATTTCCTCTTGTATCTGAGACTGACCTGTGAGTGTCTGATCATGCTTGTTGCCTTTAGCTTCGCACTCCTCCGTATGATCACTTTCGTTTTCGTTTAATTTGCCTGATTCTTGATTGCTGCAAAATCCAGCATCAGTTACTGTGTTCTTTTCAAGGGATTGAATTGTTAAAGCAGTTTCGTCTTCTTTCGTATCATCTTTGTCTTCTTTCGTATCATCTTCGTCTTCATGGCTTTCCAAAAAACGAGATAAGCATTCTTTGATCCCTAGGGCAATGGTCGTTACAATCTTCATCGGGATGTTTTCTTTTCAAATGAGCTCGGTAGTTCTGTTGTATCAATAGAGAGTTTAAGATCTACGACGCGGCCGGCTCAACGACGCGGTCTGAATCTCAGCTAAAAAATGAACGCTAAGCAATTTCATTACCGTAATAAATGTTTGACGATTTTCAAATAACATTACAAACTGCTAAGTTTGACTAAAGCGATGCAATGTTTGCTGTAATTTCGACTTTAAGTATCACCTTTTGAGTGGTCGCGTTGCTTGAAAGACATGACAATGCTTAGTTTAACGTTCTGCTGAGCATGACAAAGCCGTTGAGAATATCCCTGGGACCACAAATTATTCACAGTTTTTGTCTTGCATGACAGATTTCTTTCTTTCGCAAGCGCGTCGTTGAGCCGGCCGCGTCGTAGATCTTAGGGCCTGTTCATATGAGCCCGGTTAACCGAGCTGGCCCGCTTTGCCGAGCTGGCCCGCTTTGCTTTCACATGAGGCGGGCTAGCCTGGCAATCATATCTATTCATAGTAACGATTTCCCGCGATATTTTAGCGGGAAAATAAAATTCGTGTTTATTTGGCAAAATTTTATTTTGGCAACAGCTTCAGGAGGTTTAATTTCGATAAATTCCTATAGTTTTGGACATTTTAGACTGTTTATCAGTGGAATAAAGCACGCAAATTTTCAGCCCAGCTTGCCGGGCTAGCCCGGTTTTGCATTCATATGAGCCCGGCAAGCAGAGATCTCGCCTTACTCAAGCGAGATCCCGGCAAACCGGGCTGGCCCGCTTCTCATATGAACCCAATCCTAAATTAATATACAAACAATATGTGAGGCGGGATCTCGGCACTTGAAAACCAGCCCGGCTAGCCGGGCCAGCCCGGCAGAGCAGGGCTCATATGAACAGGCCCTTAAACTCTCTAATGTCTTGCTACAAACGCGGCATTCAGTTGTCTTCGGATGGCTGCGACGGTAATGTTCATCCATTAGGCCAATTAGGGAATAATCAGCATATTAACCATAGATTATATCAGACTGACTTCTGAATTATTCTGAATTGTATTCTGAATTTAGCGTATTTTCAGTTCTGAATGGATTCACTTTGAGGTGTTAGGGTGACTTTGACAGTACAGGTAATTTAATGGATGGGAAGTGATGTCAAGTGATGGTTTAAAGTTTACAATACTAAAGGAAATACTAAGGGATGATAACTGGTTAATGAAATTTTTCACTATATACAGATTTGCTGGTTTGGAAAGTTGAGATTCGCTGTGGTCACATATTTGGATGAGACACATGAGGTATTTCATGGATTGTTATTCAAGAATAATGGGTGTGACTTTTACACAAAGCAGAGTCTCTACGAACAAATCAATTTTACAACTTATCAGGCAAGTATGATCTACTTATAGTTACATCCAGTATGTATTAATTAAAAGCTACAATTTGTATACTGCATGTACACTGTAATTTGTCAGTTTCATTTGAGGTCCAGTTTTAGTTTATTTATGACAGTGTAACTGCCAATATCAACTGACATTGTTTTTGAAATTTGAATTCATAATTTGTAGTTGTCATGCTGATGTCTGTATTCTTTTTCTCACATTTGTTTACTTGAATAGAACATGGTGTCAAAAAGTGTGAATTTTCGCTATTTAAATTGTCTAGTTTAGCATTTTTTTATATCACTTATCAATTGATCGACCTTTGTTTATCTTGTACCTTGTTTTATCTCAAGATTGTACTAGAGAAATTTAGTGCATACTGTAATCCAAGACCAAGGACTGAAAAAATATGTAAGTTTTGTAATGGCTCCCAGTCTCCCACCAACGTGGCAACTGTGCAGCCTATGGGAAGAGATGTAGAACCTACAAAAATCATTTTTAAAGTTTGTTCGTTCACTGCAACCAGGTATGTTTTTCATTTTACTGTTTGCTGCTCCCAAACGTCCATCAAACGTGATACTGAACAGGACACTTCCTTTGAAAACTCCTCAGATGCTGGAAAATGATGGGCTTTTCATCGACATTGTTAAAGTTAACAGCAGCAATCTGTCGGCTGAAAGGGACGATGGAAACAGTCCGACTCCCCAATCAATACCAACCGATGCTAGTGAAAATGTCTCACAGTTAATGACACCGAATCGGACTGACCTGTCGCACTAGACATGAATGGGATTTCTTGTTGACATAATTTTAACTTCAAAATTGACACTGGAGCCCATTGCAATGTTATTCCAAGTGTCTATCTCATATAACCTCTCATCTTGATCAAAACCCAAACCAGCAAAAGTCAAGCTCTCTGTATATAATGGCACATCTATCCAGAACCTGTAGCTGCAAGTGCATTGCTAGAGTCAAACATAGGAGTCGGACAATTCCCATTCTCTTCGTCGTTGTAGATTCAAACTCTTCCCATCCTAGAATTATTTTAAAATTTAAATACCTGTGACAAACTGAACTTGATCGAACAAGTGTATCAAATCTGAGCTAGGAGAAGTGCAATCTCATATCCCTATTGAGCAGCCTCGTACCCAGGCGCAAATAACTAAAAATAGGCACACTACTGTGTTTTTATATAGATCAGTAGCTAAGATGAGCAAGCGTGCGGGGGTGCTTGGGGAAAACTCGACGGGGTTCTCCCCAAGCACCCCCGCGTGCTCGCTCAGCTTAGCCACTGATCTATATAAAAACACTGTAGTGTGCCTATTTTTAGTTATAATTTGCGCCTGGGTACGAGGCTTCCTATTGAGGATGATGACCTCAATATCACAGAACCAGTTGAGAAACCAACTGAATGGGTTAACGCTCTGGTCATCGTCTCCAAACCAAATGGCAAACTGATGATATGCTTAGACTCTCGACCGCTTTTAAATTAAAACAATAAAACGACAGCACCACCACCTGCCGACAACAGAAGGGATAATCTCTGATATGTCAGGCGCTCGGTATTTCTCCGAACTCGAACGGATGCTGGCAAATAAAGGAGTGCGGACTTGTTAACCTGTGGAACTCCATTTGGACGATTTCCCTTCAAACGCCTCCCATTTGAGATACACTCTGCCAGTGAAGTGTTTCAAGCAGAGATCTACCAGGATGTGCCAACTCCCAAGACAACATTGTGGGGAACAACTAAAGATCGAAGAGCACGACCATCGCTTCAGAGCTGTACTGACACGTATCCAAGCCAGTTGATTAAAGCTCAACCAAAGTAAATATGTCTTTGCTGTAGAATGCCTTATTTGCGTCCTTGAGACATACACTGAACCCTTTCTGTTGATGGTATTAAGTCTGACCTCTCGAAAGGTGAAGCATTCATCAACATGCCAATTCTTGAGTCTACCCAGATAATTTAGATAATCGTTGAAACGATTTTTGAGTATGATAAATTATCTGGGTATCCGCAACCTGTCACGTATCTCTGATTCGTGAAATGCTTAAGAAAGATGTTCACTTTAATCTTCAGAAAACCTCAACTGAATGTAATCCAAGAGCTCAAGCATCTCATCTTTTCACCTCCATGCCTCAAATTGTATGATCCAAACTTGCCTACTCGATTGAAACCCGATGCAAGTGCAGACTGTCAGGTGGTGCTCTTCTTGAACAAACCATGGTTCAGAAAACTGTCCGCAATGGTTCCAGAGCATGGTTCCAACTACATAAGCTCGAATCGAAAAAGAAACCCTCTCAATTGTGTTCGGAACTGAACGCTTTCAAGAGTACCTCTATGGTCATCACTTTACTTTGTTGAATGATCATCAACCACTCAAGGCAATCTTCAGTAAGTCCATCACTTAATGTCCATCAAGAACACAGTGATTTTTCATGAAGCTTTAGAAGTATGACTTCGACCTCCATTACTCTCCTGACAAAACCGTGGTTGTCTCAGATGCACTCAGTAGGGCTTACCTCAACAACCAATCGACTGAAATTGACGAAGCTGATCTAATCCACTGCGTCCAATTCACTTTTGATAGCCTTCCAATTAGTGATGCTCGTCTGACTGAACTTTAGAAAGAGACAGCCTCTGACAATGTATTGCAATAACTCAAAGAATACACTCTGAAAGGATGGCCATAACAACATAACATTCCTCAAGCAACCAAACCCTTCTACAGTATCCGGGGAGAAATTGTGTACAAGAATGATTTACTCCTAAAAGGTCAATGCATCATTGCCTTGCTTAACGTACAGAAACAAGCAACCCATTTAATCCAGCATAGCATACCCATTGAATGCACCGTGGCAAAAGTAGCCTCCGACCTATTCACCCTCTAACATGACATGACGTCATCGTTACGGACTATTTTTCAAAATACATTGAAATTGAACGTCTCGCCGACAAATTGAGCTCCACTGTAGTCAGTGAAATTAAAAATATATTTTCTCATTACTCAACTTTCTCTGTAGTTTTCTGACCTGTGCATTTTTTGTCCGCCTGACTGCTCGCGGGACACGCCATGAAAGTAGAACCATGGATAATGGTAGTACCAGGGGTAGAACTACATTCAACTTGCTTGGCGTGCCCGCGCGACTGATTTTTCAAGTGATTAAAATTAGTCGCTCCACCCGCGTGGGCAAAGCGACTGCAATGGAAAATGGCCTTAAAGAGCTTTGCACCAACAATGGTCAAGACAAGAATACACAGCTGAATGTTTAAAACACCTTTGCAAAAGAATGGAACTTTAAGCACACTGTGTCAAGTGCTTGCTTCTCACAGTCCAATGGCCTCGTGGACAAGGCAATCCAGACAGTCAAAAAGAGTTTGACTAAGGCACGTGATGGTAACCAAGACTCTTATCTGAGTTATCTCGCCTTGTTAGTCCTCAACACTACTCCTGGAAATGAAGTCCCCAGATTTGCGCCTCTTCGGTCATCAACCACGCTCCACATTGCCTTCTTTAATACAACCTGCCTTTACTCTTCATCTCAAGAACAACCAAACGAAAACAAAAGAATAAGTCCCCAGATTTAGTGATAATGATTTTATGCAGGAACTATCCGGAATACCCCGGCACCTAATCACACAATATGAGGACCCAAACAATAGTTGGCAAATTTGGAAATCCTTTTTTCTGGAAGTTCTTGATAGACACCCCCCCCTTAATTTACAAAAGCGTAAAGCATCATTCTGTCTCTTGGATGAATTCCAATATTAAAAAACTAATAAGATCTAGAGATTGTCATAAGAAGAGAGCAAAGAAATATAATTCTCAGGTACATTGGGAAAATATTAATCAGAAAGAAAT